AACCCTACGGGGATTTTATGCTTCTTTGAATCATAACATTCATTTATTTGAATTTAATCTGAATTAATTGAACATAAAAAAAATGTATTATAAAATTTTAGAGGTACCACAGTTCATCCTATTGAATTTCTAATTTTTTTTTCTAATATTTGTATTATATATTGAATGGATGACTTCATATGTAAACTTTACTGTATTTAAATGGACAAACGAAGACTGAATTTACGGAAGATAAAATGAAAACATGAATGATAATCTTTTATTCGTGATGAACTAATATTATTCTCTATTATATTTTTTATTCAAATATTTTTATTAATTATTTATAATTTCTTCTAAGCAAAAAATCCTATCCTATTAATTTTAATTAATCAAATGACTTTTTATAAATTTTCATCGAGTCTGAATGTTTTTTATTCATTCATTTTATTTCTTTTTTTTGGGACCACCAAGATACTACTGCATTGTACATGCAGTAATAAATGTATTGACAACAATTAATTTAATTTCTAATCCACTTTTACCAACAGCACATCTAAGCAAAGGATTAGTTGTTTATACATCGCTAGCTTGAAAAATGGTTTTCCTTCTTAGAAATCTATTTATCCGATCGTCCATAAAGAAAACAATTAGTTAAGGAAACAAGTACTTGTAGAGGAAAATCCTCAATATATCGACCCTTAGATCATGTAAATGTGTAACCTTACAAGGTCATAATTCAGTGGTTTAGAAGACACACAAGAAGAAATTCACTTGTGAGGTGCACCACATTAGAGTCTCTTCAAAAAAATAAATCTCTCGATATTCTCAGAATTTACTATTATACTTTATTCTTCTCCTTTCTTCTTGAAAACAAGTTGAACAAGTACTAAAGCTATATCTTGCATCCCAATGTAAAATTTACTCGATTGTGACTGGACCAATAGGGGTTGGTTTGCTTGAATATCGCCTTCTCTCTCTCTTTATTCTGACTCTTATACTCCTACACTTTTATTCTTTCATCCATACATCTTCTATTCTTCCTCTTTTCTTTAGTCTCGAAAATTGTATTGGTTGAGGACTGTCAGTCGAACGTTTTTAATGTTTTTTTTTGAAATTTTCCTAAAATTTCTCTTCTCTCGTGGTCATTTATTTTTCAAGCTCGAAATTGATATAGATTTATATAATAGAATCCTTCTGTAGTCAGTGAAATTGCAAAGAAATATATCAGGTATTGTTAAACGATGAGAAAAATTTCTAAAGTGCTTTTTTGAAAAGATGGACTTGAAGTAGTGACAGTAGTAAATGGCATTTAATTTTTTTTAATAGATGAGAAATCTTTTTTATAATAATAATAGTAATAAAAAATCATTGTAATAATTTCTATTTAAAGTACACAATTATTTGTACAAATTAAAACACTTATAGTATCACTAAAAAAATATTCTCATGAATTGAGAAACTTTTTCTGTGAACTAAAAAGTTATTTCTGTGAATCAAACTATTTTTTCTACAAATTACACGAAACAAAGCAAGATTTTTATTAGAGAAGAAAAAAAGAATCGTTGATACTTGGGAAGCAAATTTTTTTGTTCCTCTTGCTCGAATACGCACAATCGATGGCTTTGTAATATTCTGCTTGAGAAAGTTTTACGCATGACATATGTAAGAAGTAATATTTACTTCCGGTAGCAAACCATATTTCCGGTCATACGAAATATATTTTCTCTGCTTCTAATATAATAAAACTTTGGCAAAATCCAAACTACTCCAATACAATCTACGATAACAATGACAATACAAACAAATCAAAATATAGCATGTGTTTAATATATCTTTTTAGGAGAGTTTCCAATATCTCGAGGGTTCTCGTAATTCCTTTCAACCAACTCTTTTTTTCTTTCATCAACCTCACCATCGACACACCCTTTCATGACGACTGAGTAAAAAAAATTACAGGTTACCGCCCCGTGGTCGCGAATGTAACGAAAAAAAATTACATGTCTCTTTTAATATGATTTGAGGTGAATTCTCTTGAACGCGAGGTCCCCCTTTCCTTGAGCTTGAATTGACGATAGTGCTTTTCCACGTGTGTCGAGCTATACACTGAGCTGCAACTGTTGCACTTTTACCCTCGCCACGTGGGAGCACATGTTCCGTCCCGTAGATTTCACCAAACAATTATTTCCAAAGCCTTTTCTGTCAGCATTATTGTCAACCGTTTCAAGCAGAATTATTCAAATTATGAATGCAAATATAAATAATAATTCCAAGAATAATTGCCTCGACGATTGGCCGGAATTGGATCTACGAATTGATGCTGGAGTAAGGAGAAATGAAGAAGAAAGAGAATTAGAGATATAAAAAAAAAACGATTAGAGAATAGGAAAAATAAAAAAAAACGCATAAGATGGTTTAGCTGGCAACAGCGTAGATCTTGTGTAGAGTGAAAAGACCACGTGTTGTTGTGGGCGAACGTTTTTAGGAACGCCAGTAGGACTAGGACGCCGACCAGAGATGAAAGATCCACGCCGGGAGAAAGAAGAACGCGTGGAGATGAGAAGAAAAGAAGTAAGAGACCTTGGAACCCTGTGCACCTATACAAACAACCTCGTCTCGAGAAAGCAAATATTTTGTTGTGATGCAAGAATTCACAACACTGAATGAACGTCGCATTCATACATTACCTAGAAAGTAATGAGCTTTTACTAAAGAATGAAGATCTTTGTTTACCCTTTTTCCAACAATTATCAATGCAGAGCATGAAAAATTAGTCCGTGAAAAGGTTTTCAAAATCCAAATATGGAGTTTTAATTTTTCAGGTGCTCTTGAGTGTATCACGTGACTGGAGGGATGCTTTGATAAAAATATTATTGAGATGTCAAATATTTATAGAGTAAAGGTTTATGGGTTAATAAGAGCTAGGTAGCTTTTCTTCTAATTTATTACTAATTTTATCGAAAAAAATTCATTAATTGAATTAAGTTTCGATAGAATAATTTATTTTTATTTAAAAATACATTTCTATTAGGAGACAATTGGATAATGATTTTGATTAAAATATTATTTTTAACTGTGATTATTTTCTTCTGTGTAGAATAATGAATAATTATGGCAGAAAGTTTTTTGATATAATTTTTTAAAAATAATGTAGAATGAACAGAATGTAAAGTGGTAGTTAACTAGAAATGAGTTGAAAAAAATGTAATTATTTAGTGATGATTTTTTCTCCAAAAAATCTGAATAAATATCGACAATTATTAAGAAACCAAAATATTATTATGTCATTTTTCTTTCAATTCTGTAAAGTATTTAGTGAGTGTATTAAGCGAATACCCGCTATTCAAGTATCAATAAATATTCGGAAACCTTGGCAACTGTAATAAAATTCATAAAATTCAATAAATATTGAAGTCATAATAAAAAATATATCAAAGACTTTTCTTTTATTCGCTTTATATGACCTTCTGCTATAAAGAAAAATATTAAATAAAATGTCGATAACAATATTTTGTGGAATCATAAAAATTTTTATAAACACTTTGTATCTTCTTGGAAACATAAATATTAATTTTCATTCAATTGAATGATTTTTTAAACAAAAAAGCAAAATTCTTCTCTGTAAAGCAGAATGATAAGTTTTTTTCTTTTTTTTTCAACGAGATACATTTACTAATGCTTCAGACGTGAAACATGAAATTTTCTGAACATGAGATGTAGATTTTTCAATCTCTCAAAGGCGCAAATTTGAAGTTCGTATGTCGCAGTAATACTCGTCTATCTTATTCTTTCTGCTCCTCTGATTTTTTTCTTCTCTTGTAACGCCTTGTGAAGACAACAATGGAAGAGGAGAGAGCACAGAGTATCTGCATCAACGTCGACAACGGCTGGTCCGTGTTGTTCAACAGCAGGAGATGAAGAAAAAAATATTATTGAGAAAACGCAATGATAGTTATTTACTCCAAAAAAATAATCGAATAAAAAATATGACATTTAATTCTCCAATTTCTTTCACACTCACAAATGATTTTTCTTTTATCAACCAAAAATAACTTAATCATTCATTTAAGTTGATTTTATTTAATTTCTGCTCATTCCATAAAAGATCTCCTCTATCGTTAGTTAAATAAAATATAATTCCTCCTCTTCTCAGGATGAAATAAAGAAGAGATAAAAATAATGCACATAAAAGAGATGAAAAAAAATGAGAAAAAATTCTAAATAAGTCCAAGAAATTCTTTCTGAATTATAATAATACAGGAATGAGAATAGAAAGAATATTAAACAACTCAACTGAAGAAAATGATGGTAAGAAGACTAGACATGCATGAAGATCTCTAATTCCCGAACTTGGTGTTTCGTCTTCTAGGAAAATGTTCAGTAGATGACGGTATTTGATACTCTTCTCTCTAACAAACACACCACACGTCCAAGAATATTCCCTAACACAGCGTATAGACATCCAAAGGTAACTAAGAAGATAGATTCTATCCCGGAATATTCATTAGTACATCGTCGATTTAAAGGTGATTTAATTACTGGTCCGTCTATCGTTAATTAATTCGGCCGATAGTTGAAACATGATTAAAACTACACTCCTCAATTTCGCGGAACAACGTTCATCCTCCTAACGATCAACTTCAGGATCTCATGATATATTCTGTTATAGATAAAGATATGTTTCCCAGATTAAGGAATGTATAGCAAATCAAATCATGTTAAGCCTTTAACTTTTGCATGAATGACTTAACATTGTTTGATGATCAATTGAGATCAGGTTTAGTGTGAAAAATGAATTCGAAGAAGTTTGAGAAATATTTTAGTCAGTTGGCCTTTGAGAGACAGGTGAGTCATTTAATAATAAAAATATTCTATTGATGATTGTAAATAACATAAAAAAAAAGAAATGGTTTTTCATGCAAATGATAGTGATGAGTAATAAATAATTATCAATTTTATGGCTGGAATGCAGACATATATATTTTACGAGTGGTTCAATTTATGGATATTCAATAAAAATTTCCTAGTAAATTTGAAATATTTAGTTAAAAAAATAATAGAGCTAAAAAATAATGATGATCAAGCTGCAACATTTTACTGTTTTTATTCTAAGTGTTCTAGTTCTTGTGGCGAAAGCTGCAATATTGTCACCCTCAACAAATGACGTTAATATGTTTGTTCAGAACCTGGAAAACTCAAAATCTTCAAATTCAACTCAAGGTTTTAATGTGTCTGTTCCATTGAACGTAACCAAAGCTAGTCTCAATACAAGTAATTCATTTTACATAATTTTTGAACTAATTTTTGTAGCGTTTTAATCATAATTTATTGCACATTTCCAGACGAAACTAATGGAGGTAACAGCACAATTATGGATATCTTAAAATCTTCAAATTTAACTCAAGGTTTTAATGTGTCTATTCCATTGAACGTAACAGAAGCTAGTCTCAATACAAGTAACTAATTTATCAATATTTTTTTTCAGTATTCCATTAAATATGTAATTATATTTGAGTTTTTTTCTTAATTGTTATTCAAAGAATCATTCTTTTCCATGCAACTTATTTTTAACTTATATATTCATATAATTTTTAAACTAATTTTGTTCACGTCTTAATAATTATTTATTGTATATTTCCAGCCACCACTGAACAAGGTAAAAGCACAATTATTACACGAAAGAAAAAATTGAGAGGAGGAAGAAGTCTCTTCCATACTATCATTTAAATAATTATTGAAGAAATCGACATACGATCACATATCACATTATCGAAAAAAAACTTTTATTGTGATGATAATTAATTTTGATTGTTGCTTGTAATCAAAAAATAATAAAAGTAATAACAAAATGTTTCTGAAAACTTATTGCAATCTGACACACAGAATATTCATCAATAACTCTGAGACTTTATTGAGTATTGTTTATAAAGCAAATTTAATTATTAATTCACATCATTTTTTTACAATGTATTTATATATTTATGAATTATAATTATAATTTATTTCACTTTTTTAGGTTATATATCAAGCACAACTGAGTCAGGTATGTAATAAAATAAAATCAATTGTAAAAATTTTTTTAACAATCATATTTTTTTCTAGTTACTGAAGCACCAGTAGTGTTCGATATGTTGGGCCGAGGATTTTCTAGTAATTATGGATTATAAATTATTATCGATATTAGGAATGTTATATTATATGATGACTGTCTTGATATTATTCATTTCAGAGCTCAGCGGTTACGTTTCAAACCTTTTCTCTAGTGGATATGGTAATAACACAATTACTTCATCTATGATTGAAATGTTTCCTCAGAAAAAATTAAAAATTATATTAATTTATCTTTGTTGTATTTAATAGGTTCAGAATCTGGAAGAAGTTTGGGTGGTTCGTTTTGGAGTATTATTTAAATGATTATAGAGAACATTTTAATATATTGGCGTATAATTACTCAACACATACATTAATTAATTAAAGAAAGATATTAAGTAATAATAATGTAACAATTGATTCAAAACAATAAATAGAAATATGATTAATCAATGTTATCAACATAATTTTTAAAGCACCAAAAAATCCACGAATTACGAATTATTGACAATGAAAAGAATATAAAGACAATTTGTTTACCATTGTTAAGAAAATAATTTTATCAATTTACTCATTCAAGACAGTTAATCATTTTAGTGCTGTTTATTAATCACTTTGAAAAAAGGCTCAGTTGATGCAACAGATTAGAAGTTTGTTCAAAAAAAAAACAAGTCGTGACTGCAACATGAAAATTGTTTAAAGTTTTCAATCAGCTTAAGAAATGGAGACCATTCCAGAAGCAGACCTCCAATATCTTGCAGCAGTGAATCACTTTTTTTATGTTGACTAGATTCTGTTTGAAATAAACTCGCGAGAGATACCAATCGAACATCTGAGATCTGATTCACCAAGTTTAAACTCATGTTTAACCAGTAAAATCTCTACTGCTCATCATCTGCCCCCAAGTGAGTTGATGCAATTTCATCTTAGAATCAAACACAACCTAACATCATAAGCAAACTTCAAGATGAAAGATTCCGAAAATGGTGGCGCACGTTCATGCATACATGTCTAAATCTCGATATGCTTGTATTATGTATGCGGCTAAAAACGTTGTGAGAGAGCTAGCGGCATAACGCACGTGAACATAGTAGGACAATAGCTGTCACCTCATTCACGTCAAGCGGTTCGAAACGACTACCAACTTCATTGGGACCAGGTTACCAAGAGGATCAAATTGCATCCTTGCATCGACTTCTATTCTTAAAACGTAAAGAAGCGTGTACACGCACCACCTTAGGCTACGTGGAACTTGATGTGCACTAAGATTTGGAGATAATTTTTTAACTTATCCATTGGTCACTGTTTATTCTTGTTTTAGCATCTAAATTATATTAGAATAAATTTACAAATTAGTAAAGAATATTACATAGTTTTTAAAAAATTTATCAACCAATTTATCCCATCATTCTAGAGTTAATAATCTAAAGGTTGAAAAATGTTTTTCTACATCTATTTTCAAAAATTCTCCTTATTTTCTGATAGATTCAGATTTATATTATTAAATACAAATTTTCACATGCATTACAATGTCCAAGGATCCAAGGATGGATCCATCAAATTAATGTATCCGACCAAATCGAATTGTTACCAAAGCCTATATTTATAGAAATTCAGCAATAAAATCTTTTCTACATATGCATATATAAAATGACAAAAGCGGTGTTATACCTTGAAAAATGATAGAAAATGTGACGTGAAGGCTTCAGAAAGAAAGTGCAACATATAACAAAGCTATTTCACCTCCAAGACTGTAATTCCTCTATTCATCAAAGCTTACTGGAATCCATAGCAACCAAGAATAATATCAAAATGTCACCGAACAGATTTACTATTCAACCATCATACGTTTGATACGTTTGATTTACTTTTTTCTCATTTCTTACGTTATATTTATTTTCAGCATTTCAACGCCCAAGCACAGAAGTTTGATGATCCGTCATAAGGAGGAAGAGGAGGGATGTACAGAAAGAAAGAAAAGGAGAGGTAATGAAGCATGATGGCGTTCCACGAACACCTATTCATCACCTTAAAATTCTTTCTCCAAAGCAAACACCGCGAATTCTCCAATCAGCGTCGATTCAAATTTCCAGACTGGTTCACCACAGCTTCTTTCTTTCTCTTTAATTCTCTCATACTTTTAGAACGTGCTTTTCCTCTAAGTGTGCAAGGTCCAACAAGGTCCAGTCCATTAATAAAGACATCGATATGCCGCACACTATGATGTGAATATCACGAGGTACTATATCGAGTTACGCGTTGTTCCTGACCAGTGGGCGGTCCAATACGCACTTACGCCGCGAGATGAGTGTTTTAACATTAAATCTAACTCTGTCACACATGTGGATTCTAAAATTGCTCACGAGCAGCTCCAAGTCGTGCTACAAGTGGCAATCGTATAATATGTGTGACCACCTGCGTTGCAACCTTTTGTACGACAAATGAACACGTTGACGTACAAAAAATCTTGAAATTTTATAGCCACTGCAACTGACTTTTATTAAATGTAGGAATGAAATGAAAAAATCTATCAAATGAACCTTGATCGGTATGTATTCAATCGATTGAAATTAATTAATTGTCACTTTAAATTTATCTGAATTTTTAAGTTTTAATTTTCGGTAAACATTGATCCAATTTATTCATCAACATTTACCAGTTGTGCTTAAAAAAAATTCTAATAATTTGTTTTATTTTACACAAGCTAAGCACGGTAATTATTGAGTTGTATCACTTAATTATTTCTTGTATGTTAAATCATTTATTCGGGCTTAAAGCTTTATAAGATCTTTTAGGGTTCTTATTAATTTTAAATGTACTTGTTTAGTAACTTCAAATATTAATTCAAATTTCGATATAAAACATAAAATATTAAAAAAAATTTTATGATGAAAATAAGGCAAGATTGAAGATATTATAAAGGTTAATTTTGCAAAGTTCGTGTTAAAGATAATAGTTGGATAATAATGAGCTTTTTACCAATCTTCTGTTTGTTAAAAAAAGAAAGATAACAATAAGTAATCTAAGGAAGAGACTTTGAAACTTGATCTACTATCAACCAAGAGTGACCAGTTTGCAACCGAACTTAACTACTGAATATAAGAAACATTTTTAGCATCATCTCTATCAACGTCATCATGTGTATTGTCTCTGGTGCTGCTTAAAGACACTGAAATTTCTGGTCATGCATCGTTCGCGCCATGGTTCTCACACCCAGACCGGGGATACGCCGAATTCCACGACGACGGGGTCCATACTCGACTGCGGCAACAGCGATCGGAAGTCTTTTTTCTTTTTCATTCTAGGTCCATCGGTTTTTTTATTTCTCATTCACTGCCGCTTGCTGTATAACATCGTATATACAGTGTGCTGCAAAAAGTGCACGACCGCCAAACTGGTTCCACGTCTGAGTCACCGTCTATAATGACGAGCCGCAAGAAGCGCACGGTGGCAATCGTACGAAAATACCCACAGTAACATGATTAACAATAATAAAAGCTGTGGATATGAATTATCAGATGGAGCAAAAAATTTGCTGTTCATACTCATTCATATTTATCTTCATCTTTTATTGAATGTTATTTCTACCATTACGTGTAGGAGTATCTCATCTCAAGATGTGCTGCATGTTGAAGAAATATTCTTTCAATTACATTTACCTGGATAATTTGTGAATAAAAAGCGCCAAGTGTATTTGAAATAAGTTAAATTACCTGTAGAATATACCTCCCATAATGGCCTGAGTACTTATCGCGTCATTAGGTACTTTATCGTTAATTTCTCACCTTTAACTGGTGCTCAACATTTGCAAGAGGACGAAATTATAGGCATTAAGGTATCTCCAAGTGCGATCAGAAGCCAAGAGTCAATGATGTAAGTACATAAACTTGGTGCTGATAATTTTAACTTGAATTTCTACTTAACCTACTGATCTAAAATAATCCATTCGCTCGTTCATCTCACAAAAAAATATATAGATGTAAATTTAATGAATCTATGATCTCCATGAACCTTTAATTTCCACAATTATTCATTTTGAACTTTAGCTCACATTATCTCTTTTTAAAAAAAACCATTTTCACGTCAACTGCATCTTACAGTTAGTTTTTAAATAATACAATATTTTTATTTTAGTGACAGTGTTCAGTAAAATACTAATCGAAAAATAATGATTTCCATAAAAACAAATTGATGTCTTGCTGTAGTAATAATCGTTTAATTCCTCTTGCTCATTGAAGCATGACCATTCCTACCAATTTCAATCTCCATTCATTCTTCACCTTAAACATTAATTAGTGATTTATAAATACTTCTCGGTATTACTTCTATTCCAGTATGTTTTATTACTCAACGCATAACTGTAAAATTTATTTTTATAGCGAGCTCAGAGCAAAAATAATATTTCAAACCCTGTATTCTTTATTCCAAGCATAAAATGACCAATTTTATTTTCATTGAAGCAACTTAAATATACCAAGAAGTATCCTTACAGAAGGTCCAAGGTATCTTGGCACGTGGCTCGCGTATTTCAATAATAGTAGGAATTAAAGGTGGCCTGAGCAGGCGTTTTTCTTTCTTTTTCTTCTTTCTTCTCCTCTTTCACGGTGGCGTATCTGGTCTTGGGACACAATCGAGTGTGGACGCGTGCTTGGAGCAGAGAAGAGTAGACTTGTGGCAGGTCGACTCTTCGCGACACCTTCTCGCGTTCTTACAGTAGTGAGTAGAGAGACCCTATCCCGTTTGATCCATTCTCCTTCAGGTATATAACAGTTGTCCTCTTCACCACTCTACTCAGTTCTTTCGGCTACGATTATACTACTATACGCGAAGATGGAAGAACCTGGATCCAGGTAGCTTAAAGAATTTTTATTGCGACAGGTTGCATCTCCACAGTCACTATGCCATAGTGTATCGACCTTTGCCTTTCTCTACACTGTCAAAAAGACACCTGTCAACGACCTGTTGGTATACCACCCTCGAGGTGGTGAATCCAACCGATGACAGGCTACTACCTTGAGCAGGTCAGTTACCACAAAACCTTTCAATAATGTTTTCATCTCAATGATCTGCTGTTATAAATTAAAATCACACCTACTTTAGGTGATAATCATTTAAATAAATCGACAGATATTTTATCGATGATGTTTTTTTTTAAATTTATTTTTACTACAATAATTTGTTTTGACCATTTTATTAATAGCCTTGATAAAAAATATACCTTTTTTAATCTATTAAAGTTTTTTTAATCAAATTAAAAATGTTTTTTTTTTCTTTTCTTAAATTATCTAAGTCATCAACCTTCTCACAGCAGCATCTCCTTTTTCTCTAATATAAAATATTTCAAAATAACCCATAAAATTTTAAGTTGATTTCTATAACATCGCTCCAACTTATTGAGAACGTAATCTTCTGAAGGTAAAATT